TAGAAGTGGTGTCTTCCTTTGCAGCAAATAGCAGGTTTTCTTATAGCCTTGGAAACTCAGGGTTTGTCTCCTGAAATGAAACCCACTGCTCAGCCATCTGAGTAGGCAGGTATAATGCCAGGCAGGTGATACCCTAGTGCTTTGCAGCCTGCAAGCTATCATATTAGCATTTTTTGTCACTGCTTTTCTCAGCCAAAATCACAAGATAAGCTATTCTCAGACAATCACATCTTAACTGTAACTTCTATTCTAAAATACATGTGTGAAACCTAAGAGCTACTTAATATTCTGCCTTAAATATTTTTAACCAAGTGGAAGAAAAACTTCAACAACAGAAAGAATACTATCTTAAAATTTTAGCGTCATCAAGTCATAAAATGTATTAAAATGGTACTTGATTTAAAATAAAAAAATTTGTACACATGTGTGCATGGAAATGTAACCAAAGCAGACTTATGTTATATGATGAGCACTAAGGGGCTAATACTAAGGTTTCTGAGTGTTCACAAAACCATTATTATCGCAGCATAGGCCCAGCAAGTGTTTGGGCTCTTACCTCCTCCTCACCAGGGCTTTGGGCAGAAATGTGATCAGACACTGCTGCTGCTACCGTGGGGGACCACGAGCTCCTGCTCTGACAGCTGGAGGAGACGTTCTGTATTTACACTGACCAGTACAGTGGCCACTAGCCACATGTGGCTACTGAGCACTTGAAATTTGGGTTAGTCCCCAATGAGATGTTTGTAAGTGTAAATTTTACACCAGATTTCAAGACTTAGGGCAGAAGAGGAAGATAAAAGATCTCATTAGTAATTTTTTAAATTAATTGTGTTTGCAAATAGTATTTTAGAGGTATTCGATTAAATAAAATATAGGGTGGGGCAAAAATAGGTTTCCAGTTGTTTGTATGGAAAATAATAAATAATTCAGGAATAAACTGTTTTGCCAATTGACAACTGTAAACCTACTTTGCCCCACCCTGTATATTATAAAAACTAATTTTCACCTGTTTATTTTTACTTCTTTTAATGTGGATACTAGAAAAATTTAAATTACATATGTAGCTCTCCTTGCACTTGGCCAGTGCTGTTCCAGGTCCTTGCCACTCACAGGCAGTTGTCGGGTAAGCAGCATCAACACCTGGAAGCTGGTTAGGGACAAAGAAGCTCATGCCCCACCCAGACCTGCTGAAAGAGAATTTGCATTTTAACTAAATCTCATGTGATTTGTATGCATGTTAAAACTTGAGTAGTGGTGAGTCCCAGACTAGGATTGTCTGCTTTAGCAAATAAAAATGCACGATGTCTAGTTAAATTTAACTTTTCGATAAACAAGTGATTATTTAGCATAGCATACCCCAAATATTGCATGGCATATACTTATTATTAAAATTATTTGTTATTTATCTGAAATTCCTATTTAACAGGGTGTTCTGGCAACCTTTCCTAAGGTGTTTATCTGGCAACCCTTTCTAAGACTAAATACCTGTCCAGATCTGTCTTGCTACTTGAAATTCCACAAAATCAGGAAAAGGAGAGAAAGGTCAAAGGAGAGGTGGAGGTGAAGTTGGGTGAAATGACAGAAGCAAGCAGAAAAGGAGAGAAGATGGCAAGTAGGAATAAGATAGGGCGTGGGAAGGCCACACGGATGGTGGTGACCTTTGCTATTTTATAATTTTTATTACTAACTTCTTTATATTTGTATTCCCCTAGGTCCCCCAGTTATTGTCTTTTAAGCTCCTCTTCTCATTTTCTATAGGGCTCCCGAGAGTCAGGTTAGAAGATGGTGTGTGTGTGTCAAGGGGGTAGGGAAGCAGGAGAATGTCTCCTCAGGGTCAAGTCCCCGGCCCTCCTACAATCCATCATTTCTGAAATGTCACTTACTGATAACAACTTTCGGCTACTAGTATTTGGCCTTTAAAGATTTCAAGTTCTTTTTTTAATTAAAAAATTTTTTTAAATTGATTTTTAGAGAGAGAAAGGAAGAAGGAGAGAGGGAGAAACATCGATGTGAGAGTAAAACATTGATCAGCTGCCTCCTGCGTGTTCCCCTACTGGGGATCGAGCCCACAACCTTGGATATGTGCCCTGACTGAGAATCGAATGGGCAACATTTAGGTGCCAGGGACAACACCCAGACAACTGAGCCACGCCAGCCAGGGCAATGTCAAAGTTCTTAAGTGCCTAAAATGCTAACACTTTTATTTTGGAGGATTTTCTTTATTGTGGAATTAAAAATTTTTTAAGGTAAAATAACTCAGACATTTTGTTGTTGTTTGTCTTTTTTTAAATTTTTATTTCCTTTTATGATATTTAGGTGGGGGATGGTAGGATTGGAGGCTGACAAAGAAGGAATAATAATAGATATTTTTTATTTAACTAAGCATTGAAGTAAGACAACCCATTCATCTCTGATTTTTTTTATTTCTCATTTATTAAAATTTTATTTGATAATGGTAAAAAACATCTAAAATAAGATCCACTCTCTTAACAATTTTTTAAGTGCACAGTACAGTATTGTTAACTATAGGTGCAATCTTGTACAGCAGATCTCTAGAAGTTATTCATCTAGCTTAACTGAAACTTTATGCCTGTTGATTAACAACTTTCCATCAGCTCCTCCCCAACCCCTGGAAACCACCATTCCACTCTTTGATTCTATGAATCTGCCTATTTTAGATACCTTATATAAATGGAATCATGTAGTATTTGTGAATGGCTTATTTCACTTAGCATAGTGTCCTCAACGTGCATCCATGTTGTCACAGAATCCCCCCAACCAGTTTTTTGTAATCCCCCCCTCTTTTAAGGGCTGAATAATATCCACTGCATGTGTACACCACATATTCTTTTTTTTTATCCTCACCCGAGGACATTTTTTGTTCAGATAGAGATGGAGGGAGAGAGAGGAAGAGAGAGAGAGAGAAACATCGACGTGAAGGGACACATTGAGTGGCTGCCACCCGCACGACCAACCAGGGCCGGGGACAAACTGCAACTGAGGTACGCGCCCTTAGCGGGAACCGAACCCGGGTCTCTCAGGACCGCAGGCCGACGCCCCAACCGCTGAGCCAAACCGGCCAGGGCACACCACATATTCGTTACATCCCTCCCTCAGCAGGCACTTCAGCTGTTGCTGCACCTTGATGGTTGTGCGCAGTGCTGCAGTGAACATGGGAGTGCTCTTATCTCTTTGAGATCCTGAGTTCTTTTGGATAATTACTTATAAGTGCAATTATTGGATCATATGGTAGTTCTATTTTTAATTTTTAAAGTAATCTCCATATTATTTTCCATAAGAACTGCACCATTTTGTATTCCCACCTACAATGTCCATGGGTTCCAATTTCTCCACACCCTTGCCAATACTTGTCTTTTAAAAAATGATAGCCATCCTAACAGATACAAAGTAATACCTCTTTGTGGTTTTGATATGCATTTCCCCCATTTGAGTACCTTTTCAATTAATCCTTTATCAGACATTTTCTGATATAACCCTTTTGAAAATATTTTCTCCCATTCTGTTGCTTGTTCACTCTGTTTATTGTTTCCTTTGGTGTGCAGAAGCTTTTTAGTTCGATGTAGTCCCAGTTGTCTATTTCTTTTTTTAAAACAATTTGAGAGATAGGAAGGGAAAGTGCGAGAGAGAAACATCAATCAGTTGCCACCCACACATGCCCTGACCGGGGACCGAACCCACAACCTGGGTATGTGCCCTGACTGGGAATCAAACCTACCAGCTTTTGATGTATGGGGGGATGCTCCAACCTACCGAGCCACACCAACCAGGGCTATTTTTGCTTTGATTGCTAGTGCTCTGGTGTCATATCTATTACATTACTGCCAAGACCAATATCATGAAGTTTTCCCCTGTCCTTTCTTCTAGGTTTTAAGTCTTTAACCCATTTTGATTTGATTTTTATGTATGGTATGAATAAGGATCCAATATCATTCTTCACATGTGAATATCCAGTTTCCCCAGCATGATTTGTTGAAGAGACTGTCCTTTTTATATTATGTGTTCTTGGCACCCTGATTTCTAGGCTTTCTATTCTGTTCTATTTGTCTGTATATCTCTCTTTATGCCAGTAGTGTACTGCTTTAATTACTCTAGCTTTGTAATGTATTTTGAAATCAGAAGTGTGATGCCTTCAACTTTGTTCTTCCTTTACATTTGGCTATTCAGGCCTCAGTTAATCTTCACAATAATTCTTTGAGTTAAATACTTTTTAAAAACATGTTTTTATTATTGATATTAGAGAGAGAGAGAAGGAGGGATAGAAAAAAACATCAATGTGAGAGGGTAACATTGATCTGCTGCCTCCTGCATGACCCTTAATATGGATTGAGCCCACCAGGAATTGCATTGATGATCTTTTGGTGCCAGGACAATAGATGCCCAACCAACTGAGCCACACCAGCCAGGAATGAGTTAAGTAGTTTTGTCCCCACTCTGCAGATGGGGAAACAAGGCTCAGGAGGAGAAGGAACTTGACTAATATCAGATGGTTAGTCAGGACTGGAGCTGGGAATGCCCTCCAGTGCTGTCTGACTCCAAAACCAGTGTTCTTTACTATTACATTTCATGCTTCTCAGCAAATGGAGAGTCATGAATGCAGGAGGCAAGTATCAACTAGGACACATAAATAAAATTAGGTAAGTTTCAGGATTTTTACTCTTTTATTCACCTGAAAAATGCATGTAATAATGTATAGTTCTTGGATTTTTGAGGAGAATTTAATGGCTTCCTGCAAAACAATATGATATTCTTATTAAGAGTTAGAGTATCAAAACAATGCCAATTTCTGAAAAGAGCTTAATTGGCAAATTTCCTCTAAAAATCTACTTCCTAATAATCTTTCATTGAGATGAGTAATCAAATGATCAAAACAGACTCACTGGTTTCACTCTGTAATCCAAATTAAGCAGCAGCAGGCTCCTCCTTCTACCCTCCTCCATACATAATACATCCTGGAAACACTGCCTTTTCATTGGTTGAATATGTTGTCAGTCACATGGCATGAAAAGTACTGCCTCTGCTCTGTTTGCATTTATGAATCAACAGATGTACTTGCTTTGAAGAAACACACTCATTTCTTGATGGGAAGAAAATTCTTGTTTAGTTTTTCACTTATTTTTTTATGTATGGGATTGTCACTAACTTTGGACCAGATATTTGCCAAGAAGAATGTAAGGTGAGTAATTGCATTATCTTTTGATGTAAGACACCTGTGAAATTAAGTGTAAGCATGAGATTAGGTGGTTCTGTATATATTTTATATTGTTGCATAGCTGGATTTGTTTACAATTCAAAATGGCTATACTAGATTAGATAATTCAGCAGCTACTAAAATCATTGAACTAGAGTTTCTAAATAAGAGATAAAGTCATAATCTTTATTATAAGAGGAAAGAGTTATTTGTCCCAAATACCTGAGACATCTGCTTTATGTACCAAAGTATGTATCTATGAAAAAAAAACAACAACAATGATTCAAATCAGTGTTCAGGCTTCTTTTATACTTACAAGTAAATGTTATTTTCACAGTCTCTCCTGCCATTATTATGTGAGAAGAGAGTAAGGAAAATGTTTAAAACCTTAGAAATGTGTAACCTGTCCCTCAAAGCAAGGGTGTTAAATAATTTTAACTGGTAGGAGATGGTAATTGTGTGGTGTACATACTATTTAAAATTAACAAGCAAAATTTCTATTTCTATTTTCTTTATCCTTTTGGCTTCTTTTCATACCATTTAAGAGAACATATAGAGATTTTTCTGTAAGGAATAATATTCAGAACCTGAATAGTAATTAACTTACATCGTATCTCCTAATTACTCATTACGTGCCATTTCAACAAATGCATCAGGGGATTTTAGGATGAACACAAAGGACAGCAGCAAGCAGGGTGATCTGCCAAAACTTGTGTTCAGGAATTCTGAAGTCACTAGCTGATAAAAACTATAAGCATGAGTATTTTTATTTGTTTTCCCTCATTGTTTCCAAATCAATTAGTGCTTATTTTGGTTCACTTTCTAATAATAAGTGACCTATACACCTTAGGTGGTTAAAGCTTAGTAATGTTTCCCCACCTGGTTTATACAGAAATGACTGATTTGTGTATTATCGCACTGGTAAAATATACACCGAGAACTAGAAAAATCCCATTTCTGTTTCTGAAGCAAGGTTAATGGATTTATATAATCTTAGCTTCAGAAGGGACCCTAGAAATTACATAGATCAATGATTATTTGAGTCTAATGCTATGGCATATTATTTTATTATGAAGAAAACAGTTGCTGTTTTGTGAATGTTCTTTCAAATTATGGATCTGAAATTAAAAATATTTTTCAACTCTGTGGGGCAATTTAAACTTCTTAAGTCTCTAGGAAGAATGAGTGTATTAGAAGCTTGTACTATATATATAATATCATTATAACATGTACATGTATTATATGTTTCCTAAGCTTAGAGAGAGAAGGAATCATCACTCTTCTCTACACATTCCTTCCTCACTTTGGGTTTATGCTTGAACAAAAAGGAAATATTTTCTCTCTCACACAGCATCCTGTGTGATCTCTTATTTCCACTTCCCTCTCAGAGTTTGTTTGTTTATTAATTTATTAGTTCATTATTCATGGACATAACACACATGTTTTTAATACTTGGTACTTTTAAATAGCTGGGCATTTTGCTAGGTGCTGGGTCTACAATGGTGAACAAAACAGCTGTAGTCCCTGCCTTCATGGAGCTTTAAATCTAGTGGGGGAGGTGCTCATTAATGAAGAGCATTACAAATAAGCAGTGAAACTTACTGGGAAAGCCAAGTATGGGAGGCTCTGAGAACATATAATCGGGGGATCTGAATGAGTCTGAGTAGTGAGGGACACTGTTCTTGAAAAAGTGATATTTAATCTGTGATCTGCAGGATATGGAGGAAATAACTAGGAGGTAGGGGTAAGAGGAGGATGGAGATAGTTTCAGGTGGAGGGAACAGCAGGTGCTAAGACTATTATGGGGGAAGAGGGAACATGAAGCACTGGGGAACTAAACGAAAGAATGCCAATGTAGCTGGTGCTCAAAGGGGAAGAGGTGAAATGAGGTGAGCACAGCTAGTGGGCTGAGGTCTTTCAGCCTTGTAGGCTGTGGTGGGGATGTCGTCTTCATCCTCAGTAGGACCATGAAAGGGCTGCTCACGTTCACCTTCATGAAGTTACACTTGGGAGACTCATGCTGAAATACCTGGTAAATAAAAATATGGCACCATCTACTACAAGCCTAGACACTAGATTACTTTTCAGATATTACAGAGATCCCTTTTACTGGAAAAGGGTCTGAATGGTTTAGCAACAATGTAGGCTTAATTATTTTTAAACCAGTGTTTCTCAGTTTATTTACACACATACTTTTTTTAGTTCCTACTTTAGTCTAGAGATTATATAGTGATGCAAAAATGCATATATATTTTGTCTTTGGTTGAGATTATGGCTTCCCATAAAATCATTAATTCAGATTTATGAGTGTGGGCAAGGCCTCTCTAAATTTATTTAGAAGGATAGCAGCATTATTGTATGTTAATGACCATAGATTCATTAGAATGAAAATAAACCTGTGATACCTACTAAAAGATTTTCATTAGTAAACACATGGAAAATTTTAATTAGTAGAGCGAAGTCTCAAGCCAAGCATGTTAATGATATGGTAGCTCATTCATTCATTCATATACTTCTATTCAATAACCACTTGTTAAACTCTTCTGCTAAACAGATATTTCCAAATGACTTGATAAATGTTTATCTTATTTAGGTAAAGTATATCTCATAATTTTGTTTTTTTATTCACTAAGACATGATTTTTGAATAAGATTCAAATTCAAGAAAATTTAAAAATCTATTTGTGTATGAATGGTGATATTAGAAAAGTTGGAGCTCCTCAAGAAGTGTTTTCTGGGCAATAGTGTTTCTTTCAAATGTTCAGTTACTTTTTAACTTGCACTACAGAGTTTGGAGTTTAGGTAGATAGAAATCTTTTGGCTAGAGTATATCTCTGTTGTAGTTACATGATTACTTTGATCAGAGCCTCACTTTTGCTGCTCAGGAAATTAAATTTCTTAGTACTCCTAAATGTGATTAGGCTCAGAGGACTGATTCATGCTAATTCTACTCATGCGAGACTTCGTATAAATTACAATGCTAATTTATAAAATTTTAAAGGAAGGCATCTTTTTAAAAAGAGTAAATTAGAAAAATTTATCAAAGTAATGCATGTACATGGTTTTAAAAAAATCAGATGATACCAAGACACATAATAAATTATAGAAAAAAATGATCTCCTATTTAGTCAGCTTTTCTCTAGTAACAGACAACTTTAACATTCCAGAATCTATGATCTCAAGCATTTATTTCTTGCACATGCACACGTTATATGTTGATAGCTACAAGTGGGCTGCCATGGCCCTGCAGCTCTATGTCCCATGTCTTCCCATTCCAAGATCCAGACGGAAAGAGCAGCCACTATTTGGGCATGCCATCATGGGAAAAGGGCAAGAGATGGCAGACATATGCAACTCCTCTTAAAGTGTCTGCAGAACTGGCACACTGTTGCTTCCACTCATATTCCATTGGCCCAACCAAGACATGTAGCCTAGTCCAATGATGGGGCAGGATATATCTCCACCTACAGGGAGGTGCTGAATGGTGTATAGCCCAGGGCAGGGTTCTATACATCTCTGGGATTGTTTCCAGGAAGTTGGGAACAATCATACAACCCAACACTGCCGCAATAGTTAAATAATATGCATGGGTGATTTAAATATGCTTTGGTGATTTCTCCATTTATACATTTTAGACATGGTCTCGCCACTTCCTGTTATAATCTACAAAGTTTCTGTCTCTAACACTGCCCTCACCTTTCTTGCCTTCATCCCCTCACCCCTCCAGTTTGGTTATATGACTACTGCCGGTTAAATGGGTGCTTGCGTCACTGCCACTGTGCATATCTTGTTCACTGACAAGCCAGTGACTGTACTCTAATTTTTTCTTTTTGTCTTTGTATAACAGTTATAGTACAGTCACTGGCTTGTCAGTGAACAATGCAGAATGGCTAAAATTGAACAGACTGACTACCAAATGTTACAAGAATGTGGAGCCACAGAAAAGCTCATGCACTGAAATTGACTGGGAGTTTTCTATTCTTGTTTTAAAAATCCTCACCCGAGGGCAAGCTTACTGACTTGAGAGAGAGAGGAAGAGAGAAAGAGAAAGAGAAACATCAATGTGAGAGAGAAACATTGATCGGTTGCCTCTGGTATGCGCCCAGAATAGGGATCGAACTGCAACCCTTTGGTGCAGGGGACGATGCTCCAACCAACTACGCCACGGGCTAAGGCGTTTTGTTTTGTTTTAATGTTAAACTTCTATTATATGACAGCCATTCTACTTCTGGGTATTTATTCAAGAGAAATAAAAACATGTTCTGTATAAACCCCTGTACACAACAGTTCTTACATCTTTGTTTGTAATAGCCCCAAACTAGAAACATCATAAATGTCCATTAGTGGGTGTATATCCAAACAAAAAGTGGTATACCCATACAATGAAATATTTCTTAGTAATTAAAAGGAATGAAATATTGATATATATATAACAACATTAACGAATTTCAGTCATTATGTTAAGACTGAAAGAAGCCAAGCTCTAAAAAATATGTTATAGGATTCTATTTATAATTGAAAATGCAAACTAATATACAGTGATAGAAAGCAAATCTGTAGTTGCCTATGGCGGAGGGTGGAGGGACCATCTCTCCACCACAAAAGTACATAGGGAAACTTGGGATGTCTCTTTACTGTGGCGGGTGTTGCAGGTGTATGCACACACCCAAATGCACCGAATTGTACACATTGAATGATGCAGTTGTGTGTACTTAAAGTATACCTCTATAAAGGTGGTAAAGTGAAAAAATAATTTCATGCATGCATGAATTCATTAATTGCAACTAATAGACATCATGGTTACCAATCTGTCATCTTCAGAAATTCTCATTAGATAATAAAGATTGTGTACAAAGTGAATGGTGCATTTAATTTGTAATTAGTTTCATATGATTAATTCTAAATCTCTTTACTATGATATAGATTTAATAACTCTTTAGCTAAAGTTATGTTTTACATATAGATCATGATATATAATATACGTATTTCTCTAATTATAAAAATGGTGAGTTTATATGATAGCAATATACATAGGTATCGAACAGGAATCTCTAGGTATAGAGTTTGTTCTGTATTCTCATACACTACAGATACAACTTATGAAAAATTTAAAATATACAATAAAATATAAAACATTTTATATATTTATTGGACAATTGGAGATTTAAACATTGACATGACATTTAATGTTAAATAATTATTAATGTTTTCTAGGTATAATTGGGCTGCTATCTTAGAAAGTCCTATGTTTTAGAAACACATACTTAAATGATATGATTTCTGATATTTTCTTCAAAATAATACCAAGGAGGGGAAATGGGAGAACTTATAGGTGAAACAAATTGGTTATGTCTTGATAATTACTAAAGCTGGATGATGGGGAAGGTACTTGAGGATGTGTGTGTGATATTTTTCTGTTTATATATGTGTGTGTGTGCAATATATCATGTTAAAAAGATGTATATATCTTATAACTTAGCAATTTCACTTCTAGGAATGTGTATCTTAAGGAACTCCTTGGGTATGAACAAACAATTCATAATAATGTTCAATGTAGTATTTTTATTAATTGTAAACATCTTAAATATTTAATAGAAATTTATTTAAATAAATTGATGCATTTTTATGATATAATACCACATGCAATTCAAAATTAGATGATAAAAATATGTAATAACGTGGAAAAATATTTATGGTATATTTTTAAGTGAAAAAAATATCCAAAACATAATGTTTCTAAAAATCTGTTTTCAAATTTTATAAAAAGGAAATTGTATGTGGTATGTGTGTATTTAGAGTGAAACACTAGGAGGATATGTGTTATAATTTATCTCAATTTTCAGAAATGTCTTTTTTGGCAATTGAGTCCTTTTATTTTATTTAAAATTTTTTTCTTTATTGATTTTAGTGAGAGAAGAAGGGAGAGGGAGAGAGAGAAAGAAACATTAATGAGAGAGAACATCACTTGGCCGCCTCCTGCATACCCCTCACTGGGGATTGGACCTACAACCTGGGCATGTGCCCTGCCTGGGAATCAAACTGGCGATGTCTTGGTGCGTGGGTCGATGCTCAACCACTGAGCCACACCGACCAGGGTTGTGTTCTTTTAATAAAAAGGGTTGAATATTTTTAGTTTAATATGTTAACAGTACAATGTAGTGTAAAATTTTACTGTAAAATATTTTATTATGTTTTATTTCTTTGAAGAACATATGTTATCTTTAAATAATAAATTCACTGTTAAAAGTGGACAGTTTTGCTAGGCTAAGGGTCTGCTCTCTTTTACTCTGAAATGTAACAAACTAAAATATCCTCCTTAAAACTTCACATCAAGTCTGAAGTGTAGATATTTGTTTAGCATCTTTTAATTTCATCTTTTTTCTTGTTTCAGCTATCAAACATCTTCAAATAAAGAAGTGGTTGTAAAGAGTGGTAAGACCTACAATTGCCCTGATGTTTCCTTGGGGGTTGAGGAAGGGTTTTGTGATGGCCTTCCCTCAATACTAGTGCCTGCCTGAGGAGTCTCTCTTCTGAAAATCTCTTAAATTAGTGTATTCTAAATTGTGAGCCAAAAGAGGCTCACGCCTAGTATATTTCACAGTGCTTAGCATATTATTGTCACAGAATTACATCAATCGATCAACGTCGTTTAGTCTATGTACTCCTCTCATTTATTTGACAGATCAACAGAATAATGGAGATATGAAACCAATCCAGAATTTCACAATACCAATCACACAGGTATGGTATGTTAGGGAACTACATTATATCTTTAAAATTTTTAAACATTTCAATCAGGTCAGAGCCACTGTGAAAATATAAATAATTTCATTAATAAATAAAATTCTTGCTTAAACTTTGGGTGGGGAGATGTATTATGTAATCTTATAGTTGATAAAAACCGAAGTTTCACTGCTCTTATATATTTTTATTACAATATTTAGTTTTATTTTTGTTGCTTCCCAGACAGGATCACTATAGTTCCATTTTATCTTAAGTTACAGGCAAGCTTGGATTGCTGCTGCCTGTTAAATTTCTCTTTTATTTGTACTTACACTGGAGTAATTGGTATGGAATAATCATCTAGATAATTGGATCTTCTTTCTCATATATCCCTGTCTTTGTGACCTCCAGAGTCAGGTACTAAAGTGCTTTGTCTTAGGCTTTCTGGAAATCAGCAAAAGTTTCATGAGAATTAGAATGATGTTAGAACACTAGTTTGCTAGCTTATGTATATTAAGCGATCCGGAGCTGGCACTGTTCAAGACAGTAGCCACTAGACACATGTGACATTTAAGAAACATCTGTAACAAAAATAAATTAATTAAAAAAATGAAAACAAACAAACAAACAAAATAAAATAAATTCAAATTCAAGTGAAATAATGCTAAGTAAAATTAAAAGTTAAGTTCCTTGGTTGCACTGGCCGCATTTCCGGTGCGTATGGCCACACCAGCCATTGGACAGTGCAGATGTAGGACATATACAGTATTGAAGATTGCGCAGTTGGACATAATGGTCTGGAGAATTATGCTTGATTTCTAAAAACGTCTTGTTTTCTTTAACATATTAATTTGTTTATTTTAAGTCCTGCATTATTTTGGGTTCTTATAGTATTATTTTTTGATGGGCTTACTGCCATTAGTATCATGGCTTGGTGAATTTTTAAAAAAAATTAATGGAGTTTTAAAAATTGATTTTAAGTTTAGAGAAACAAGTTGAACAAAAAATAAAGAAGGTTCCCATATACCCCCTCAATTCTTCCCCCCTCTAATTCCTACTATATTTAACAACTTTTATTAGTGAGGCACATTTGTTAAAATTCATTAACATCCATAGGTTACATTAAGATTCACTCTTTGTATTGTATATTTTATGAGTTTTAACAAATATATAATGATATCTATTCACCATTACAGTATTATACAGAATAATAGTTTCATGGCCCTAAAAATCTGCATCCCTGCTTCCTGCCCCAGCACAGTAACTTGAAAAAAAAATATTTTTCTTTATTGATTTTAGAGAGAGAGTGAGATAGAAACATCAATGAGAAAGAACATTGATTGGCCGCCTCCTGCATGCCCCACACTGGGGATTTGGCCCACAACCTAGGCATGTGCCCGGACCGAAATCGAACCAGCGACCTCTTGGTGCACGGGTTGATGCTCAACCACTGAGTCACACTGGCCGGGCCACAGTGACTTTTTAAAGTCTGTATTGACAATGTTACTTGCAAATTTAGTTAACAATTTGGTCTTTTCCATTTTGGGTACTTTGTGGAACTGGGTTCACGTACCTTTCAGGTCTACCTATCATTTTAGGCTTGTTATGATCTGGTCCGCTCGTCTTCATTGCCCCACAATAGTGTGGACTGTGGAGCTAGATAAATCAGAGTTTCAGTAGGTTGTGAATTAGCCCTTTTGCTTCCATAAAGCCTTTTGTACCATGGAAACACATTTATCTCTTATTTTGCTCATTTGGTTAATTAGGCCCTGTATCACAATCCGAGCAGACAAGGGCACTTAGAAAAAGAACCTTGGAATGCTTTCAGCCACAGTAGCCCAGTTAATGTCTCCATGGATGGAATCCCCTGCATTCGCTTTTGGGCCAAAAGGATAACAATTAAGTTTAAGAACCAGACCTGGCTGGACCTTACAGAGGAAGCTTTTGGCCAGAAGGCAACAGTGGATGCTAGCAACTCAAACTGCAGTGAAGAAAGTGCCAAGTAAGTTGACCATTTCACTAGATGAAGCCCTTCAGGTGATTGTAGTCTAGTAAATGGGAGGTCCAGTTTTCTGTCATTTCAGAAAAAAGAAGTAGGCTCCTTTGTACATGACCTGACACATACCTATCCGGAAATGTTTAATGTTTAATGTCTGCAATGGAAGACCATGTCAAAAATTAATTTTTAAAAATTTGCTATTTTTTTCTCAGCAATTTTCTTCTGAACCCTTTAGCTGATTGTTACAATGCCTTGTGGGAAATCAGGACTCGGAAAATGAAGGTTCTCAAACTCATTATGAAAAAGAGAAAAGGATTCCAGGCATGGTATCAACTCCAAAAGTGAGGTGTCACACTACTTTCGTCTCATCAGAGAGGAAATTACCTATCGCAGAGCAGAATCATCCATATTCTAGTGGGTGAGATGCAGAAGGCTGACTGTGGTCCCAGCAGATACTTGATTCTAGGGAGTGTCCTCAAGTTGTGGAACATTATCTGTTTGCAGATATGCTAGAATGCCCTTGAATGGCCGAATGTCAGACAATTCATTAGTACATTTCAAAATGATTAGAATATTTACATTTGATTTAAGATACGAAGATTAAACAAACACCCCTTTTGAAGAGGAAATCAATTGCCAATGCCCGTCTGTGCTTTTCAGTCTTCCAAGCAAAATTTTTTGCTTGTATTTGTTTTGGTCCAGGGGGTGGAAGCCTGGCATGTCCCACTTATTTTCTATAAACCTCTTGCTTCAGTATTTACTGGTATAATGGAAGCTTTTGGAAGATTCTGTTTTGTCTTGGTTTAGATGGGCAGAATGCTTTGTATAAACCATAACATTCTGTGTGTGTGTGTGTATTCTTTTTATATTTATGTACTTTGGCTTCCAACACTTTTTTTTTGGTTGTTTTTGTTTTTAATCCTCACCCGAGGATATTTTTTCATTGATTTTTAGATAGAATGAAAGGGAGGGAGGGAGAGAGGGAGAGAGAAGGAGAGAGAGAGAGAGAGAGAGAGAGAGAGAGTGAGAGAGAGGGAGAGAGAGAGAGAGAGAGAGAGAGAGAGAGAGAAACATGGATGTGAGAGAGACACATTGATTGGTTGCCTCCTGCACGTTCCTGACCAGGGCCAGGTTCAAACCTGCAACCCAGGGATGTGCCCTTGACCAGGAATCGAATCTGTGATCCTTCGGTCCATGGACTGACCTTCTAACTGCTGAGCCAAACCTGCCGGGGCTGCAAACACTTTATGATTCTTGAACTTCTCAATAAAAATTCTTGATGTTGGTTAAAATGGCTTATATTAATATAAACTTACAAGTTATAAGTCTTAATAAGTACCTTGTTATTCAGAATAACTATCTCTTATAGGGAACTAGGGAATTGCAAGCATACGCATCCAGAGTCCTCCCAGATGTGTTTATTCTGTTACAGCCTGAAGATCAGAGACTTCAGCACTACTGAGGGTCGGACTTTTTCCTCAGGCGCCAGTCAGTTCCCCACAGGGCTCTATCCGTGGCAGCTGCTCAGACAGAGGCTGAAGGCCTAGGGATCGTCTTGCCTGTCCATGGCTGGTTGACCCTTCTTGGTCCCATTTATCCTGACCTGAGGATATTTATGGGGAAGAGCAGGGCACCACAGCTTCTTGCTGGGCTTTAGAAACCTTAATGATCACCAGGAACCCACAGACAGAATGAAAACTTGGCTTCTAGGCTCAGTTCTTCCAGTGAGCTCTGTGACTTTACAACCCGGCGGCACTGTAGGATCATCACCTGTGAGACGGAGACGATGGCATCTGTCAACGGTGACTGATGGCCTTGAGCACTTACCATGGGCCAGGTATCATGCCAGGACTTCACAGGCATGATGTTTGATATTCCTCACAATGCTATTGCAAATAGGTCCCCAGCATCACAGGTACTGCTACTATCCACGTTCCAGGCGAGAAAGTCAAGGCGCGTAGAGGTTAGAAACCTTGCTAAGATTATGCAGCTTGTATGTGAATAGAGCTAGGGTCTAAAACATCTTTAACAATGACATTTTACCTCCTCTCTCTTGTCCCTACCTAATAGGGTTGTGAAAATCAAATAAAGAAATTATTCATGAGAACTTTGAAAACTTGTCAAGTGCTACTCAAAGTATATGTTAGAATACCTTCCTAACATACTAATGATAGCTGCAGTAAAATAGTGTCTGGTTACCAGGTGGAGAGGCCTAGAGAAGTTTCGGCTTTCACAATGCACACATTAATGATTGGGTGGAATCTGGCATTTTTCTTCTTGGTCATCACTTTAGAATTGTACTCAGGGCAATAACTAGGTGTGCAGCAATTGCTTCTTGGAGCCCTGCTCAGGCGAGTGTGCAAGAGTCCTGTAGAGCCCCCCAAGGGGGTGAGTGGGAGGCTTCCCAGGATGTGAAGTGGTGAAGGACCAGCTGCTGAGACCAAGAGGCCCTGATTCCTGAGAATGGCACAGATAAGTGAGATGCCTTTGCTGGGCTGGCTAGAATCTCATGTTCTCAAGAACCAGAAAAGGAGTCGCTGAAAGAAGAAACCTAAGCAAAGACATAACCATGTAAGGTCAAAAGCACAGATTTAAAAAAGAGAACCATGTTTTAGCCCTTGGAAACACAATGTTCAGGGAAAGGCTAATTCTTGGCAGACAGATTTCCTACAGAAGTCTTGTTAAATAGTCAAAGCCCTACAAATAGAGCATAATCCTAGCATCTGTCTGTATTTTGAATGTAGGCAATTATAGTCTGAAGAATTCAGAATCCATTTTAAACGTGGGAGGGTAGGGAGTTTTGAAGAGCGCAAGAAGCTCCTTTTTGAGTGGCTGACTAGGTTATATTTCTCCTTTGTGTTTCCAGTTGATGGTGCAGTGCCTGGCACTTACAAGATGCTCACTGAAAAGGCATTGCATTTGCTTTGTTGAAATCAGGCCTCCTGTTCTTCACTCTGCAGGGAGCATGTAACAGCTTTCACTGAAACCAGGACTGCTGGAGAAAACTGAAGTGTCGAAAGCGTGGAGGCCACTGAGCTGCTCTATCAGGAGAGCGGGCAGAGATTAGGGTGGTCTCAGCACGGATTTGCTCTAAGGGTTAGCTCGTTAGCTATAGAGCCAGTTTATGGGAAACTAAGCTATTCTGATTCCTTGGAAGCATTAGAGAAATTGCTGTTAGAATAAGTGACCAGTCAAATTTATAAAATACTATTCAAGAAATGCATTTTAGTTCTTTAAAATTGGTAATTTGTAACGGACTGTCAAAATATTGCTGAAAACTTGCTTTACTAAGTAAATTAGCTTGTAAATGTAAATGAGTCTATTTAAGGTGGCTAAGCTTATGATTTTAGGAAATAAAAGTATTTCTCCTAGCAATCTTATATAAAAAGTTTATTTTTTCAATACCTCTTCCCCTTTTTTCTATAAATAGTATTAAAATTTCAGGCTCTGGCTGGTGTGGTTCAGTGGTTAGAGTGTTGACCTACAGATCAAAGGGTCTTGGTTACAATTTCTGGTCAAGGGCACATACCAGGGTTGCAGGTTCAATCCCTGGCACTGGTCAGGGCATGTGCAGGAGGCAACCAATCAATGTGTCTCTCTCACATCGATGTTTCTCTCTATCTTGCCCCCCACCTTCTTCCCTCCCACTCTTGCTAAAAATCAGTGGAAAAAATATCCTTGGGTGAGGATTAAAAAAATAATAATAAAATAACTTCAGCTCAATCACTGATATTTCTATTTCTTGATAAGTAGAACCAAATTAATGAGATTATACATGTGTGGTATTTTTAAAGCTTCTATTATTATTTTATTATTATTATTTTGTTTTTATAATGTATACTGAGATGTTATAATTTCTACACATTTTAATGTCATGTAGCATTATCATCTTTTGTGCATTTAAATGTTTTATATTTTCACTTACAATTATTTATTTAGCTTTTTATCATTGCTACTTTTAACCTATTGAAATGTAAATGAAATACACTAAATAACACTTAAAGTGTACAATTTGATCAGTTCTGACGTATGTGTACACCTGGGAAACCATCACCACAATCAGGACGGTAAATGTTTACGTCACCCTGTGAGGTTTCCTTGTGCTCCTTCGAGAGCTTGTGCTCCTTCGAGAGCCATCACTCCTGCCCCGCCGCCTCTTCAGGTAACCGCGGGTCTGCTTTCTGTCATCATAAATTAGTTTGCACTTCCCAAAATTTTTTATAAATGTAATCATGTAGTGTACATTCTTTCCCTTTAGCATATGATTTTGATCTTTTCTGTGTTGGTATCAAGGGTATGTTCCTTTTTATTGCTGAGTAGTAAGTATGCCATTGTATGCATATACTACAACTTTTGTATCCATCTACCTCTTGATGGAAATTCATTTTTCCCCAGATTGTAGAAAATTGTCCAGATAAAGTTGCTGTAAATAGTCATGTATCTCTTTGTAGGAACACTTATTTTCATTTCTCTTAGGTAAATACCTAGGAGTAGAATGGCTGGAACACATAGTAGGTATATGTTTAGTTTTTCAGAAACTGCCAAACTGTTTTTTTGAGTGGTTGGTTGTACCACGTACCTTTCCACCATCATTGTAGGAGAGTTCCAGTTGCTTCACATCCTCACCAACACTCCATATGGTCAGTGTGGAACTGGAGAGAAAATATGTTTGTTTCTGTATGGTTAGTCATTTCTGCACACCTTTTCCTGGGACCTGGGCTAGAAGATAAGCCTTCAGGTTATTAAGAGATTTTCCTCCTTAGAGGAATGTGTTTACATGTCAAGTAATAATGAGCGCAGGACTGTAGAGATATTCTAGGGCTTGGAAACCCAGAGCTTCTTATCGTCCCCTTGGAGACAGATATTTACATACCATGGTATTAAACCTGCAGCCACTGTCTTTTTGACAATTTTTATTATTGATTTTGTTTGTTTGTTTGTTTTTTTAGAAAGAGAAACATTGATGTAAGAGCAAACCATGGATTGCTCCCTCCCGTAGGCCCCCTACTGGTGATGGGCATGTGCCCAGGCTGGGGATCAAACCAGCAACCTTTCGGTTCACAGGATGAGGGACGCCCAACCCGCTGAGCCAAGTGGGCCAGGGCAGCCATTTGTCTTTTTTATGGTGAACTAATTGTTCCCATCTAAAGGCTAATGACACTCTTCTACTTTCATTCTGAGACCCACGATTCTTCCCTTTTCTCTCCCCCCAAAAAAATTGACACCAAGAAAGCAAACGTGTCCCTCTTCTCAGAAGGCGATGGGGACTGCTGCCTCACTCCTGTGTAAGCCCCCAGATTCACAGTGCTCCAGGCCAGCACCGCCTGGGGGTCTGCCTCGGGCCGCCTGCAGCGTGTGGGTTCTTGACTTCGTGTAGGAAAGATGTCACATCTCATGTCCAGGTGATTTTGAGAGTACATTTATTAAAGTTGGGGACAGAGAAATAAGGGAGAGCTTAGGAAAGAAGAAGCAACAGGAGAGCCCAGGCTGGGCTGCTTTGGCTCACTGGGCAGTCAGAGAAAAGGGGGCCTTGGAGACAGGTTCAGGGGTTAGCCCGGGATGAGCTGCTGCTGCCCATTGCTCCCCTGGTTGCAGGTCTCATGAGAGCCCTTCGAGTTTAGGAGATGCACACCTGAGAGGGAAGAAAGGTGTGTGCATGCTCCTAGGAGGGGTCCCTTGTCTTGAGGGTTTTAAAGGCTGCGCGTTTTGGAGAGGTCTTAGGGGAGGATCTCAATAGAATATTCATCAGCTTTATGCTGATGTACCAACATGGGATTTCTTCCCATCCCTTCATCCAGCCTTGGGTGTGGTTGGCACAAGTGGCATTAATTGGATTCTTGTTATTTATCTCCCTGAGTAGGGTGATTTAAACTGTTTCCCTTCTGGGTGGGGAGGAGAAGTACAAACCATTTACTCTTATGTATCCTTGGTTAGGGAACATAGGATTTTGTGATTTACTGGATGACTGTAAGCTACTTGGCCATTTATCTGTCTCAGTTTCCCTCTCCACCTGCCCCGGCTTACTCGCCTGTCTCGGGAAGTCTAGTGTTCCTCACCTGTGTTACAAATCCCAGCAAGTGCAGGATGACATCTGGCTCTCATCCTGCTCTCGGGGAAGAACTGAGTTAAAGGACCGAATGTGGTTATTGCTGTGAGTAAGAATCTGTCTCTGCTCCAGGAAATCTCGAGTTAATTTTCAGGAAAATGTGAATAAATACAGATATTGAAAACTGAAGAGCAGATATTTTTTAAAAGTTTGAACCATTCTTATTACTGTACCACGGTATCTTTTAGTGGTTTTACTTTATATTTTCCTGATGACTAATGATGCTGAGCATCTTTTCATGTGCTTATTGGCCATTTGTATATCTTCTTTGTGTGTGAAGAGCTAGTCTTTGGACCATTTTAAGTTAGGTTTTGTCAATGTAACAAATGTCCAAACCTGTAGAGAATCTTTGTAAGAGTTGGTTTGAGCCAGGCTGATGACATATGCCAGGGAACAAGATCTCAAACACCCGAGAAGAACAGGTATGCAACTTCTTTTATGTATTTGAAATGAAGGGGGGAAGGTCAGAAAGGTTACATGACCGTGGGGGAAAGCAAAGCAGTGACCGGATCACAGGATATTTAATGAGACTGTGTTCTCTTGAGGATGGTTTTACTCATTTCAAAGGCGTGTTAACCCAGATGCACAGACACAATGGATAGGGATTGTTTAAGGCAAAGATAAACCTTTTACTAGCAGTTATGTCCCCAAGGTTACTTTCCATAGAACCCCCTTTTTTTCGTGCACAGGTTGTTTTCTTCTTATTGGGTTGTTAATGTTATTATTGTATTCTGAATACGACTTCTTCTTTTTTTTTAATCCTCACCTGAGAATATTTTTTCATTTATATTCAGACAGAGAGGGAGGGAGGGAGGGAAGGAGAGAGAGAGGGGAGGTGAGAAACATTGATGTGAGAGAGACACATCGAGTGGTTGCCTCCCTCCCGCACGACCCCGACCAGGACCAGGGACTAAACTGCAACCAAGGTACGTGCCCTTGACTGAAATCAAACCCGTGACTCTTTGGTCCTTGGGCCGATACTCTAATCACTGAGCCAAAACAGCCAAGGCTGACTACAGCTTCGTTATGTGACTGTGTTGTGAATATTTTCTCCCATTCTCTGCCTTGCCTTTTTTGTTTTCTTTTTTTCCCTCATCCAAGGACATTTTTCCATTTTTTGTTCAGGTAGAGTGGGAGGGAGAGAGAGGAACAGAGAGAGAGAGAGAAACATCGATGTGAAAGGGACACATCGAGTGGCTGCCACCCGCACAACCGACCAGGGCCGGGGACAAACTGCAGCCGAGGTACGCGCCCTTAGCGGGAACCAAACCCGGGTCTCTCCGGACCGCAGGCCGACGCTCTAACTGCTGAACCAAACCGGCCAGGGCCTTTTTTGTTTTCTTAATGGTGTCTTTTGAAGAGCAAAGTTTTTGAATTTAATAAAGTGCAATTTATTGATTTTTTTTATGGTTCATACTTTCGTGTTTTTTAAAGAAACCATTGCCTACCCAAGATTGCAAAAATGTTCCTCTATAAGTGTTTTAGTTGTTACCTTTAGGTCTATGATGCATTTTGAGGTGGTTTTTGAGTCTAGTGTGAAGCAAGGGTTATTCCTCCTTTGATGGACTGTGTTGTTTCTGTTTTCTTAGGTTGTCTCTGAAATTTGATGATGCTGAAAATCCCAAAGGTCTTGATATAAGGTAGGTATGTCTACCACTCTGGAGTTCCATAGGTTCAGCACTTCAGATTAGCTCCATATAATTTATTCATTCAACATGTAAGTACCAAGGGCCTGCTGTGTGCTAAGCAGTGACATGTGAAATGTCACAGCTACCTAATTACACTGAAAAGCCAGTGGTGTTATGTGATGGGATCTCATAGTAATGCTTTCTTTAGTTGTTACTAAGGCATGTGTAGTTTCCTCATTTGGGGACCTAGAGGACACATGAACACGTGAATGTGAGAATGTGTTACCCTTTTCATCTAAGCAAAGAGTGAAACATACTGAAAGCTCCACGGGCCGAGGCTCTGGGGTGAAGTTATTTTCTGTGTGGCTCTTCACAATGAATCACACATCATTAAATGACAATGAGAATGTGACTTAGTTGAACCCCGCAGTGGACAGTCGGCACAGGCCTACATTTCTGTGTTTACATCTGGAAGGGTGCATCTGCTCAAAGGGATTTGTCCAGACAGCTGGGAACTGCTCTACGGATGGGGACAGCGCGGCGATTTTAAGACATTATATTATTTTCTTATAAATATATAATGTTTCCCTTCCTATAAGAACAGCCTTTTAGAGGATAGAGCTGTGTCTTCAACATTACTTGAAAAACCAGCAGGATGTGTTAGGGGCAGTCTTTCCTACGCTGCGTTCTATGACCTACTCCTGCTCCGTGAAAATATAAGATCCCCAGAAGAGGCATTCTGTGTTCAAACATGTTTGAGAAAGACTGCATTCCAGGTGCTCCTCCTGGAGATGCACAGTGCAGGTTTCTCTCTCTCACCTGAGCATATGTTGTTACTGATTTTAGAGAGAGGAGAAAGGGAGAGAGAACATCTATCGGTTGCCTCTCATACGTGCCCCGACCGGGGATCAAACCTGTAACCTAGGCATGTGTCCTAACCTGGAATGGAACTCACAGCCTTTTTGGTGTGTGAGACAATGCTCCAAGTGACTGAACCACCCGGCCAGGGCTAAATTTGTACATTAAGGTTTCTGTGAAGACAAGCTCCTTAGGAAGATGGTCATACTTGGTAACTTTGATTAACCTAGTGTTTACCATATTTAACTTTGGAAAGCTCTCTCCTCAGAACACTTGTCTGCATAGAATGGAATACCAATGTTTCTCTTCCCATAGTTGAGAAAATACATGACATCACCTTTCAGAGAAACTTTATAAGAAAAATAGAATCCCATAATATGACCAAACACATATAGGTATCTGTTTGATATAGAAATGAATATTTTTTTTTATTCAAATCATACTTTTTTCCCAAAAGGATTTTCTTTTTCTGATGATAAAGATATATGGCAGGCACTGTCAGTACCCCGTGTATAGCCCCTTGGGCATTTCCATTCGAGAGCACTGCAGTCCACTAGCGCAGCGTTCAGTTGCCAGTCTTTCTTTGTCTGAAAGTTTTCTCTGGTCTGTCAGACCCACTGCCTCCCATCACTACCCCAGAAGCCCTCAACCAGTGCCTGACAAGGTGTAGACATATGCCAGCTCCCTCACCCTCTGCTGAGAACTCAGAGGCATGCATTCTACTCCTCTCCCAGGGTTCCTCATCAAGCCCCATCTGCCCACAGTGGAGGCTCACTGAGGAATGTGTCCTTTTGGCTGCCTTCCATTCTTGTGTTTCTCTTCTCTTTATTCTACACACTCTGAATGGCTAAATTACCAAATAAATTTGGAGTCACCTTTCAAAAATACTTCTGGTATTTATATTCTTGTCTTAGGCTCTGCTTCTGTAGGCACCCAAGCTGAGACAAGGTAATGCATGTCCATTGGTAACAGAAAATACGGAGCAATAGAAAGAAGATGAAAATCACCCACAATTCAACCACAGTTTGTAACACCATTAACATTTTGATCTCTGTCTTTCCAGAATTTTTTTCTATACGGTCACACATTTTTTTTTTTTAGTGAGAAAAATGATCATAGCATATGTACATTACAATGTGTTTATGGATGGAGAATATGCATTTATAAAATGGCTAAGAATTAGGTCTCTGGTCTCCAGATTGAATTCAAAGTCCAGCTCCAATACTTTCTCTCTGAATGAACTTGTACAAGTTACATATTTAACCCCTTTGTGTCTTAGAGTCCTCATCAGTGAAATGAGGATAATAATATTATTTTTTTGTGCTTTGGTGGAGATTAAATAAAATGTACATGAAAAACATAGAAGAGTGTTCGACACATAGTAAGGGCCATTACTATTATTTTTGACCATTATTTCTTTAGCTAATTCTATATTGATGCCCACTTAGGCTTTCCTCAACATTTTTTTGCAGTAACAAAATCAAATGTTGATCCCGAAACAGAAAAAAGCTAAGCTTTTGTGCTTTTCCTTTGGAGAAAGTGTATTGCTCACTTTTGGGGGCGCTGCCTGGCCTTTTGCTCGAGTTCCCACCCAGCGGGAAGGAAGCTCCTGTTCAGAACCAGTGCCTCTCCTCGAGCCAGTTCTACTGTCTGTCAAAAGAGGGCGCGGTTGCGCTGTTTGTAGACGGTGTCCTGTGTCAGCAAGTGCTTTGGGGGTAATACTGTTTTATAATCCTTTTCAGATTCACCCTTACCCATTACAACAAGTTTTCCATGCAGAGCTTTTTTAGTTTGCACCGAGTTGAGGTTATTTTTAACAATTCGATCCAAGCAACTTTTGATGCCACCGGCGCATAGGCTCCATCAAGCTACTCCTACCAGTGCCCTCGCTCAGCAGCCTGCGGGGGTATGATGCCCCCTTGCTGCCCAGCGACATGGATGATGTGTCACAGCTGTGGGAGGTCACTTTTGTTGATTTCCAGGTAATAAACTAAAACATATGCTCCCATGTATTTAGTGCCAAAGAAACTCAGTGTTTGTTTGAAAACGCCCGAAACAGGAACATAGGTGTTCAAGGGGAAAAGAGAAGTGGATACCTCTAAAATGGAATTTCTTTTCTTTTATCCTCTAAGGTATGAAATGGGATAGGACAGAGTGTTTCCCTTCCCTGTGCACCCCTCCCCCCTGGACTTTGCACTCAGTTTCATCCATTCACTGACACATTATCAGGGAGGAACACCAGCAGTCTAAGCCGAGTCAGGCTGTGGCCCGAAGCCCAGTCACTGACACTTCCTGAAGTGAGGGGCCCTTCGAGGGAGAGGAATTATCAGGCAATTATTTTATTTCCTTCAGGGAGTGGAGCAGTGATCCTATCAGGCAGATAAGAAGTACATCTGCAGCGTGAGTGGCAGCGTTGGTAGGTAGTGTAGGAATGGAGCTGTCAGCCGGGGAGTCAGAAATATCTGGAAGAGCCTCTTGAAAGTATTTGGGGAAAGGCATGGGGGCATAAGAGGTTCCTTTTCACCACCAGAATCTCAGGCTGAGAGACATTTATCTGTCAAGTTCTTCTGTCCTATTTACCTGTGGGGAAAAAAAAACAAAACAACTCTAACTTATTCTTGTAACTCGCTGAAATAGCAGGCAGGGTTGTCCCTTCTATGGGCATTTTCCAATCTTTCCCATGCATAAGTGGGAATTCACATATGTATTTATCCCCCTCCTCCCAGCCTGGAAAGGTGTGGTGTTGATGAGAGACAGCTTGGGGAAGAGAAGGAGCTTGCACTGGGAGCCCGACAGCCCTGGTTTCCAGTTACTTCTCAGCCACCTGGGCAAGTTACTTTATTTACCTTCTCGACTGCTGACCTACGTTTATGGATGTAAAGAACTCATGGCCTAATATATGCAGCAACACCAGGACCGTGCCAAGTGTGGGTTCACAATAACCACTGCCTGTGCGTCAGCAGGTTGCAGTTGTTTCTCCAGTGAGGTGACTGGAGCACTGATGAGTGCGTCGTTTTTCAAGGTTACACCTGGGACATGGCCGAGGCAGACTCTGCATTCTTGACTGTCAGGCTGCAAAGATACTTTAATATATATGTTAAACATATATAGTTAATATATTTTAAATTTTATATCATGTAATTATATATATATATCATATATATATTTCTGTCTCTTGTCCCCTAAAAAGAGAAGCAGGCAGAAAGGGCAATGAGGGTAATAATGAAAACAAGGAATAACTCACATATAATCTCAGCTAATTAGAACAGAGGAAGTGACTGATCTTTGCCTCCAACTTGTTCCAGAAATGACTTAAGGTGACTTATAGACAAACTATAAGAAAAATAACTTTGCAAAATAGGCAAAGACATGAGGGTTAAGAAAAATAGAGGAAGGAAAGATTAGTTAGATATGGTGAGGTTGGTACACAAAACCACAAGGCCCTGTGTCCACCCTGGCTGGAGGTGGCTCAGGAACTTAGCTCTGAAGTTTGGGGCAGCCAGCATAAGAAGAATCTCGCAGTTACATATTCATGGGGTTTATAAGACTACTGAGACTGTGTGTGGGAGGCGTACGTCCATCGCTGGTGTTGTGCGACAGGTGCTAGCATTTTGGACAGCAGCCGTACAGTGAACACAGCATTGGGTGTTGATAAAACACCCTTAATGTAAGCATATGGCAGAATGCACCCTCTGTCCAGGGAGAGCTGATGCTGGTTGAGGAACGTGTACAGGAGGCTTCGTCCACGTTCGCAGCTTTGCTGATCTGGCTTATTCTAGGAATAAAGTGTAGATACCTCAGGTGGGCCAGCTGGGGACTGTGGCAAAGTGTGGCTGGCATCACAAGGAGCATATTTTATTCAACTACAGATAACTTTTGCTTTATAGGAATACAGGCTGAGTGTTGCTAGATCTGTGGACTTTTCAGCAGAAGCAAGAAATCTGGATTCTTATGGGAAATTTTTCAGGATGTTCAGAACTCTGGAATGTTCAAACAAAACCTGCCTGTGGGCTAGATACAGAGTCCTTGCAATCTCTAGTCCAGAGAATGGATGGCCAATATGTCTGTTAGGCATTCTCCGTGGATACTGTTTGATTCAACCAAGTCTTGTGAAGAATTGCATGGCAGTCAGTGTGAGGACTTTCTCTCTGGCTGGGGTTGCAGCATCCAGTGAGACTGTCTTTTCTAATTGAGGAACTTGACTCTTCAGGCACTGATCTGAAGACTGGGCCACTTTACCTCTTCGTCGGGAGGCAGGCCAAGGATCCCAGAAGCCAGGCCAAGAGTCTCCTTCGGAAGCTGTTTTGGATTCAGCCTAGAGCACAGATAATCGGGCGAGCAGGGCCCCTAGGGTCTGCGGCATGAGGAGTGGCTGCAGTCATGTTAACATGGACAAACGCTACTGTACCCACTTAAGTCATAAAAGTGAATTCTCAGTAGGGCACCGATGGAGCATTCCATTTTCTGATGTACTTCTTTAAAATGACTAGGTGACCGAGTGAAGTGACACAGCGTAGCGCTGTGTTCTAAAAGCCAGCCAAATGTGGGGCTGCCTTCCGCAAATGATGGCTCCCTTTAGGGTAGTTGCTCTGTAGCCTTGCTTCTTTCATTGTGACAGCATTTGGATGTCAGGGCCAGTTGATGATTTGAACCTCTCTCCTGGTTCCAACTAATTAAGCCACTGCATTGCACATCCGGGAAAGTTTCCTTTCTATGCTCTGGGTAGGATGCAAGGAGAGGCTGCTAAACAGCTCTTCCAAAAACAGTACCATGTCTTCAGGACACACACACACACACACACACACACACACACACAGAGAGAGAGAGAGAGAGAGAGAGAGAGAGAGAGAGAGAGAGAGAAGATGATGAAAGGGAGAAGAGACAGAACACACCAGGAGTTATGGGGTGGTAAACTGAGAAGTGAGTCTGAAGCCAGACTGCTTATAGCTTTACTATATATACTTAATGCTTTGTGACCCTGGGCAAGTAACTTCTTCTGTGCCTCAGTCTCTTCAGCCATAAAATGGGGATAGAACAGTAACTTACTCACAGGCTCCTGTAAGTGTTAATCGAGTTAAGGCTTTGTCTGAGACGTGAAGGACCTTTAGTAAGTGTTAGCTTTGATTCATTCTGTGTTTTATGTCACTGGGAATCATGTTATCTTCCCTTAAAAGAGTCTCCCTGTCTAATTTCTGTCAATAGAATCAAAGGCAGAAGAACTGAGACTTAAAATTATTTGTGAAATTTATAGTAAAACATAAAATTTTGAGTGTGTTTGAATTTTACAGGCACTATAGATGAATGAGGACATTTCTAAGAATCATATTTTAAAAGTTTTATTTCAGATCCTTGGAATAAAGGTTTTATTTTAGAGCCTTGAATTTCATGAGCCTTAATGATGATAATCCTACATCCTAGAGGAGTTTTTTGGGTTAGTCTGATTTACAGTTAAGTGTCACATCCTGGCCGGTTTTGCTCAGGAGTTAGAGCATCGGCCTGCAGTCCAGAGAGACTCGGGTTCGGTTCCCGCTAAGGGCACGTATCTTGGTTGCAGTTTGTCCCCGGCCCTGGTTGGGTCGTGTGGGAGGCAGCCACTCGATATGTAGCTTTCACGTCTATGTTTCTCTCTCTCTTCTTCTCTCTCCCTCCCACTCTGTCTGAACAAAAAATGGAAAAAAGTCCTCGGGTGAGGATAAAAATAAAATAAAATGTAGTGTCACTGTCCTATAAGCACACTCACATTTGTTAGGTCATGCGTTTAAATTATTTAGCAGATATGGGCACAGCACCTTAAATTTGGTTAGTTAGGTGTCCAGAACCCCAGCCCGACTGGGGACTAGATCTTAGGAGAGAAAGAATATGTCACTTCAGCCCTTCTCTTTCTCCTGACAGATCCAAGGCTTTGCCATCAATGGAGGACAGTTTGCCAAGGCCCGAGACTGCGCCTCGTCCTTCTCGCCAGCCATCCCGATTGGCCTGGCCATGTCCCTGATCCTGCTGCTGGTTCTGGCCTACGCCCTGCACATGCTCATCTACCTGCGGGATCTGGACCGGCACTACGACCTCATCACCTCTCCGGCCCACTTCCCCCAGTTGAAAGCTCGCGATGCAGCCGAAGAGAAGGAGCTGCTGCGGAGCCCGGGAGTTGAACGCTACGAACTGAGAACCCAGCAGATCTGCAAAATGTACGTTTAGCAGCCCAGGCACCCTCTCCCTCCCAAAGTCCACAATGGGTTCCGACAGGAGCTGTTTCTATTCTGTGCTGTTTGACTTCTGATGCAAGGTTTTCACCAAATGGCTTGATTAAAAAAAAAACAAAAAAAAAGGAAATATGTGAAAAAAATACATTTTGAAGTATCCACTTACCTACTTAGGTAGACTTGATGCAATGAAAAAGGAATTCTCAGGAATCCCACAAAGACAAATATGATAGTTCATTGCCCCAAAGCTACCTTGAAAGCAAAAGGATGTTTAAAGTTAGAGAGACGAAAATAAACAAAACACACTAATGCAATACAAAGAAGGGAAAACACACTTGTTCCTTCTTGCCTGTGCCAGTTTGGATGTGATAAGTGTAGAAATAATAAATCCATGGTTATCTGGAAGACCTGAATTTAAAATACTTTGTAACGCAGTTTGCATTTTTCAGGAATTATCACAATTTTGTTTTAAAAACTAATCTTTCTTTTTCTCTTCCACAGAACTGTTTAGCAGGACTCCTGTCAATATGGTAGAACACCCTTTTCAAGGGTTTTCTTGTCATTTATTTTGCTATTCAGAGGCAGCCGCATTGAATCTGTGAAGTAGGGGTAATAATCGTGGTGGCATTTTACCTTTCCCATCTTGCTGTGGTTTGAAGGTTCATTCATTTGTCTGATTAAGACCTCATTAGCTCCTCTTGGTGTCACTTGAAATCAACAACCAAGCTAAGTAAGAACAGTGTACTTGCTATGCAAACACAGCTTCAAGGCAAACCCCAAAACGCCCTTCCAGTGAGATGGTGTCCCCAAAACTCTTCTTTAATAGAAAATCTGGAGCCACCCCTAATCTTCTTTCTCCCATTTTCTTCCAAACCTACATTCACAGATACTGGAGGTTGGCTCACTGTCTTCACCAAAGCATCTCTCATGCACCTTCTGTGTTAAAGAGATCTTAAGTATAAAAAGTACATTGCAGTTCCCTAATGAGGTTCCTGCACATGACCTTGGTTGAACTAAGGTACCCCGTACAAAACTTAGGGTGCAGATAGGAACAATGTGGAGTAAGGGGTCAAGATCAGAGAAAGTAGATCTTCTGGGAGCTGTGTGGATGGGTCTCTAATCTAGTCCCAAGTAGCGAATGACAATAGCTGTGGGATTTCTGATAGAACAGTCTCATGTCGGACATTTCTTCTGGCTGCATGCTTGGCTGCGAATGTAGGTTTGGTTTCAGCCCTCTCAGCCCTCTGTAAGCTCCTCAAACTCAATAGTGAATTCCTGTCTGTTTTAATACCTGGAGCCGATTCTGTAGACAACTAAGAGTCTTGATTTATGTACTTATTAGTACCAAAGATGACCGCAGGGAACAGACCTTCAAGAAAATGGGAATCTAGGATTGATTAAGTCAAACTCTTAAAACCAGTGGGAATTCTGTTAGCATTAGAGAATAGAAAATTGATAACCCGTGTTATTCCATAATGGAACAGATTTTCACTGTGGTTGCTTTGATGGTCCATTGGTGGCACAAATGGCCGTTGTGATAGGCTACATGCAGGGTAAACATAACTCCCTGTTCAAACTGGGACACTTTTGAAAGTGAAAGGGAGTGTCAACAATTGTAAGATAACATACATAAACAGGATAGTGCCACACAAATTGGGACATATAGTCACCCCAGGTATGCGTCATACCCTGAAAGGCTGGCTCTTTGTATCTGGGCTGAAAGGCTTCCAGAAGGAAAGTAAAAGCTCACGATTTTAAATTTGCAGCTGAAGGCATGGTGAAAAATCTGGGGAGTTTCTGTGACTGATCTGCGAGGATCTCTTCTCTCTTGCCAAAGAGCTGACACAGTTGGAAATCAGACCCAGGTCTGATCCTGCAAATTGGTAAACTACATTGAAGGTGGATTTCACAGCCTTCCCAGGTCTCTCATATGAACACAAGAGCATTGATTACAAAAGAGAGGATTCTGGAAATAGGAATGGTAACTTTTGGGAGAATTTAGATGATTTAAGGATGTTGAGCTTCCAAACTTCATTAATTTTTTCTTGCTAGCAGGAGTAACCCCTGAGAGATGAATCTATTCCTGCTCTTCTTGCAAACTCTGTAAGGGCCTCACCAGAGATAGTTACTTGGCTAGTAGGTGCCAGTTTTCTTCAATGCCTCTAGGCAAGGAGTCACATTCTACCATACCCAAGGGAACCAATTGCAAAGTCAAATCTGGGAGAGTAAAATTGCAAGGGTTTGCTAATTGATGCAGCAAAAGACTTGGGGGAATATATGTGGGACTGGATTCTGGAGGCGTTAACACAGAGAATGAAGTGTATAATTTTAGATTGGGCTGAATTTTTTTAGATAGTTTTTCTTACTAGATTTTGGATTAAATGTGCTGATTTGAACAACTGGGAGTAGTTTAAACATTTTTTTTAAGTTAGTTGATTAAAATTTGGACTCAACAGTGGCATACGCTAAATGAAACTGATACCGGAAATCCCTTGGTATAATATAGAGGAGTAAAAGAAATTTAATAACTTGGAGAATTGGGGTGTAGGAATAGATTTATCATGCTCTCCTTCCACATAACTGTGTTCCTCTGTGAAGGCCCAGGAGACACTCCTTTTCGTCATAGCACTGCCAAACACATCAGGAATCTAGCATCAGCATTTGGAAGTGCTGTAGTGGCTTTCCTCTGTGGGCTATGGATGAAGGTAGGAGATGCTATCCCAGAAATGGAATCCTTAGTCTCAGTAGGTATGCTGGGATTCTGGAACCATAGGGTCAAGCAGCAGCACAGCATCCGTAAAGGGCTGAGGGGAAGGAGTGTTAATCAGATTAGATTATGCTTATTAGTTGTAAAATAATCTATGGCAGATGTGGCTGGGCAATCCTCTGAAATACGTACTCATTCATCATCATCATCATCATCATCATCATCATCATCATCACCACCACCATCTAGTTCTGGTTAAAAAAGACCTTACTTGAGCCATCAGAGTGTATTCTTAGAGTGGAGACTGTAACTCAGGCTCCTTGAATGAAAAAGAGACTTCTTAAAAAAGAGTCTATGGTCTTTTTATCTAAAGTTGAGCATTATCATGAACAATTTTATACTTGTCAATCGGTTTCTATATTTTTACATTACTTCTGGTGTGTTCTGATCTTTAGGTAAAGAACTTACAATGTTCCAATGGATACCTTTATTATCAGCCCAATAGATATGTGATTATTGCCCTGTAATTGTTAGTGCTACAGGAGCATAGCCTATGAGATGTCTGTCTTCCTGGGATGTCTGGAACAATATGGCAAAGAAAGTGATGTTTGACATGAGTAGAAGTTCACTAGGTTGGTAATGTGGAGAAGGACAAACATAGCAGAAGGAAACACCTTTGTAAAGACTGGACTTGATCATGTGCAGAGAACTGTGAAATACGTGTATGTGGATAGGCACATAAAATACATTAGAGAAGTGAAGAGAGATGAAGCTGGAAATGAAGAGAGGGAAGATGATTGCACTCAACTAGAGTTGCAACCTTGACTTAAGGCAATGGCAAGGCCCACGAGAGGATTTTAAGCAAGATAATTACATGGTCTGTAAGTGTGAATAGAATAAAGACAGAAATGCCAATTAGGAGATTATTGCAATAGTTCAGATAAAAAGTAATGGAATCTAAGCTAAGACAATAGGATGGGAGGAAAGAGCAATAAGAGGTATTTAGGAGGTTGGTTCAGTAAGACTTGGCAATCACTGGTAAGGCACAAATGACTGGAGGGCATCTTATGTGGGATGCTGGGTGGATGGTAATGCTCGTCTCTGCAATCAGGGAGAAACAGGTGAAGATAGGACTGGGAGTCAGAGAGGGGGATTCCTGTAAACAAGTCCTATAGTAGAGGTCCAAGTAGATAGTTGGATATATGAATCTGGGACAAAATGAAAAGGTCTGGACTAGAAAATTGGAAATGTAGCAGATGCTGTCAGTGTCCCACCCACATACCTTTGGCCCTTGCCTTTTCAGTGTTTCCTGGTGGTCCATTTTTCTGTTGCCAGTAACTGCCCTCAGAGGCTGCTCTACCTGTGTTCCTGGAAGGCTAGAGCAATGCCCCCTGGGAGTAGTATGCATGCAGTGACTCTCAGAAGTTGTGTATAAATACTCCAGCTCATTTGCCCCTTGACTGAGACTGTTCTAGAGTGAGTTTTACACCATTTCCTGGAGTTCCCAGCAAGACTAAGCTTTTGCCCATTGTGGTTATCTTGCTTGATAATGTTCACTTTTTTGACTCCCTTCTCTGCCCTGTCTTACTTCCCTAATGATATTTCCTGGTGTTACCTCCAAAATAAACAACTTGTATTCAAATCCTTGTCTCAGAACCTGCTTCTCAGGAAACCCAAACTAAGTCAAGCAGTGATGAGCATAGGGGAAGTTGAAAAGGAGGTGGTAGTGATGATGGAGAAATGAATGAGATCATCCAAGGAGAAAGGATAGGCTGCTGATAGACCCCATCATTTATGGAGTAGGATAGAAAGGAGAAATCTGTAAAGGAGTTAGAGTAGGAGAAATCAGAGAAGGAAGAAGTCAAACCATGAAAAGAGTCGTGTCTCAGAAATCAAAGGAAAAATGCTTTCAAGATGAAGGGAACAGTCATATCAAATGCTGGAGAGAGATCAAGCAACAAAAGAACTAAGCAGTGTTTATTCCTTGGATTTAGCCAATAGGAGGTCATTGATGAACATCATACTCCATGGAAAAGAGGGAGTAGCGATAGCTTGAAGTATTTATCCCCTGCTTTCTTCCTTAGACTGGTTACATTCCTCTGAAGATCACTGCTTCTCTCAAGATGGCCTCCTCCACATGGCTCTCTCCTTCTGCGTTTCAGTAACTTTTTCTTCCCTTGTCCTCTGAGTTCACAGATGGTAACTAGTTCGTTGCTACTAGCCCCAGGTTATTGTATTGTTCCTTGTGGGTCTCCTATACCCTACTGGGATCTTCATAAATAGTCCTT